GGTTTTGGAGGGGGGGGCCTGTTAAGGGATCATATGAGTTCCAGGTGTCCCCTAAGAGGTTGCAGAGTTCCAAGTCCTGTCCAGGGTCCTGTGGTCCTCTGGGCAGAGTGCTGTTAGCAAGCACAGCATCCTGCTTCTCTGAGGCTGCTGCTTAGGTGACCTGGAAACACTGATGTGCTGCTCTCTTGGAAGTTTGCACTGTCCACCTCAAGGGCCAGGGACTTTCTGTACCCCAGGGCTTGGGGTCAGCAGCAGCTTGCCCTTTAGACCCAAGAGCCACCTCCAGAGTCATTGAGATCTCATTTGGGAACAATGTTCACTTCAGAGGTACTTTGTAACTGCTCGGCTTCTGAGTTTTAAAGAGCTGCTGATAGGAACTCCTGATAACATTGCTGCAGATCATGTTTTAATGGCTCGAACAGTTAACCTCTGACTTTATTTAGTAAAGTGTATCAAACTAGGACTTTTTGAATTGTAAATATGTGGTTTTATTAAATAAAAGTCATGTAAAATTGTTACTTACATTCTCTGTAGTTTGGTTTAAAATTGAGGTTCTTCCTTGAAGCATGGCAGAAATTTGAGCATCTGCTGCTTTGAAATCCACATCTAGGCTTGTTCATCAAAAAGAGGATGCAGCCGAGGGTCCCTCTCTGCTGTGCTGGAGGGGCCCCCCTGTGCTGCCGCCGCTCTTCAAGCCACCCTGCTGTGACCTTCACCACCCCTGCGCATGTCACCACTCACCCCAGTGTGCAGCAGGCACTCACTGTGTGCCAGCCCCTGGGCTAAGGGCTCCTTGCAATTCCTCAGAAGCCTGTGAGTCAGGTGCTGTGACCCAGTAGGGTGGTGGCAGGGCCTTCTCTGTGGGGCAGGATCAGTAAAGCTGTTCTCGAGATGGTGGAGAGGGCTGGAGGGCCAGGAGGTACTTAGACCCCAGCAGAATGAGTGCACCCACAGGCACTCAGAAGGGTGCTCAGGCACAGAGCCACCTTCCATTGAGCCAGTGACTTCTCTCTGCGCCCCTGTCCCTGCAGGCTTTGAGGCAGGCTGGCTAGCTGCAGGGTAGTGGACAGCAGGCACTTTTGCTGAGAGCTGTCTGGCTGCTCTGGCCACACCGGGCACTGGGCTAAGCACTGTGGAAATTAAATTTAATTTCATTTAATTTCCACAGCAGCTTTGTGGAAGATCATTGTCCCCTTCCACACATGTGACACAGAAACGTGGTTTTCTCAGGCTGCTACTAGGTGGTGGCAGAGCAGGACTCAGGCACCCTCTGGAGAGATCTCGTTTGCTCTGGGACCTTCGGGAGCCTGGCTCCTTAAGTCCTGGTGGGGACACTTGCATCATCTGTGCACGGCCTGCAGGGCAGCTGGAGGCTGATGGAGGGAGCTGTGGATTATGAATGCTAAAACACGATGGGCAGACACTTGTTCCTGGGCACTGTACACCTGGGGAGTGGGGCTGACAGTTCAGACACCATTCCAAAAGTGTGGAGCCTGCTACCAAGACACAGAAGGGCCAACATACAGGCATGGCACCCACACAGTGTGGGGGCAGGTACACCCCCCGCTGTATTTTGGGAGGAGCTGCTGGTCTCCCGGTGGGAAGGGAGGGGGCTGGCCAGCAGAGGGATACCTCAGAGACAAGACCAGTCCCCTCAGACGGGACTATGTTAAGATGTGGAGGGACTTCGGTTTTCAGGGAAATCGTGAGACCCGCATTGTATGGTGCCAAATATGTGCTCAGACATTTGCTGATGATATTCAGGCTCTTGCCTGGAACTTGGCTGAGAAGTGTCCAGATATCTCTGAGAGGCTCAGGGCGCCATCTAGTGCCTGTCCTGCTCCAAGGATCCTCTGAGCACCGCTCCCTGCAGCCAGCCTGCTCTGGGATGGCTGATTCCCTTCCTGGGCAGGTTCACACCAAGGCCAGGTCTCCCTGGATCAGCTGAAGCCCCTTTCCCAGGTGCCCACACCTTGTGGGACATTCTGTGCAGAGTGAGGATAACTGTCCTCTGCTCCGACATTACAACAAAATGAGCTACCCGTGGACTTGGAAGCCTGGCTCTGGACCCCAGAGCCTCAGTTCATCTTAAGTGGTGTTCCTTCATCTTTTTCCCCTGCTGTGTGGCTCCTGGTAGAAAGGCTTCAGCCAAAAATAAAGCTGAACTTGAGGTGCAGTTTGGGTAGATGTTAAGAACAGACCTTGGGGTTGAATCTTATACCCACCCATTGCCATTAGGAGCTCTGTGACCTAGTCCTCATTTTCTTTTTCCACAACTGAAGGTTTGGAAGAGGACCCAGCTCCTATCCACTGGCTTGTGAAGATGAAACAAAAACAAGAAGCTGAACTAACTCTACCATAAAAACCCCAGAAACATCGGGTGGGTTGCTAGAATCATTCCCTTAACAGTATTTAGTATCTTACACTCTTGAACTTATGAATTTAAAAAAAACTGAAATTATCTCCCAATTTAAATCCATGTTAATTGTGTAGAATTTGGGAATACAGGAAAGAAAATTAAAATTCCTCTAATTTTATCATCGGATAAGGGATACTGTTTTCCTATTCTGCTTTTTTCTATAAATGCATTTCCCCATTTTACAGATGAGTTCATTGTCCCAGGCTGGCCTGATGCCAGAGTCTTCACCCCAGGCTGGATCTTTCTAGATAGGCCTGTGCTCACCTATGGCAGCCTTTGGGGAGTGTGATCTTACTTGTTAAAACCAATATGTAAGTAGAAACTAGAGAACCTTTGAAAAGTAGTAGAGAAAGTGCTGCACAGTTCCCAAGAGCCCTGTGGTCCCTTCCATTCTTGCATTTGTGGGACTCATCACAGTGGTGCTAGCTGGAAGCTTAAAAGTGAAAAACACTAAGTCAAGGTACCAGAGCTGCCGTTGTCTTATGGGTAGGCTCCCACACCAGGGCCAAGACAGAACCAGGGCTACAGACAATCTCTTACGGTTACATAATGTAAAAATCTCAAGTGCAGGAAGTCACCATAAATGACTTCCACTTAGCAAAGGTAAATGTTTCCTTCTCAGGGGCCCTGGCCTCTGCTTAGGTGGGCACCTGATTTACAAAACTGTCCTATAAAATTGAAGGGGACACTTGGGATTTATACCTATTAAAAAGGTTTAGTTTCAACAAAAAAAGGAAAAAAAGAAAGAAAAAAGGTTTAGTTTCATGTAGCATCTTGCTCACAATGTATTTTTCAGGCCCTGCACTCTGATAAGAAGGCCTTTGCTCGTGGTGCTGTGGATCGAACCCCAGGCTTCACACATGCTTGGCAAATAATCTGCCACTGAGCCCCAGCCCCAGCCTTTGCTTTTAATACTCATAGATAACCTCTGTGTGACAGTCCTGTCCTGTGGATCATTTGCATTGGGACTGTCCCCAGTCTACCTGCAGTGTTTCTTGCTTTGACTACAAAACTGCCCCTGCCATATTCCCTCCTTGGTTTTACTTTTGAGAGGATGGTCTTTCTTCCTGTAATTTATTTTTGAATCCAACACAGGGCTTAGCAGTTTCTGAGACATAACATTCAAATAAGGTTTATTTTCAGAATGTGAAGGAGATGGGTTAATACATTAGCATAATGCCAAACCAACTGCTGGCCTCCAGGGACCTAGATCTCAGTGGGGGGTAGAAGCCTAAGGAGGCCCTCTCTGAGCAGGGACTGCATGCTGGGTGGGCCACAGACAGCGCTGCGATACCATGCTGGGGGTCATCTGTGGACTTCTTCCTTCAGAAGTTACCCTAGGAAACAGTCTGTGGAGTGTTGCTCTTTGCTGGTGAAGCATGGCCCTGTAATCTGATTGGAACCACAGGAGGTGGGCCACAGGAGGGGGTGTATCTGTCCAGCAACCTGAGGACATTGGTGACTTACTTTGCAGTCCTTACTTGGTCATTTGCAGCTTAAAGCTTTCTGCAGCTGGGCTGGGATCCACTTGTCACAGGGTTCCAAGCTGCAGGATTCGGCTGGGCAATGCTGTTGGTTCAAAGTCAGCTGAGAATACCTGCTCTCTCTACAGTACACCAGAGAGACAAAGGACAGCATTATCATGGAAGCCACTGCTTGGTCAAGACATGCAGCACTGTTGACCCTTCACCAGGAGGCTTCCCCAGCAGCAGAAGAACCCAGTGGGCCTGCACTGCTTCTAGCTGGAGCCACGAAGAAGAGAGTTCTGTTGGCAGGGACTTACTGCTCCACTTGGCCTTGGTGGACAAGGGGAGAAGGAAGACTCCTCACAGTAAGGGGAGGACGGCAGTGGGAATCTAAGCTTTTTACTGCCTGCCTCAGTACATGTGTGTGACATCAGAGAAAATAGTGTACTCAAGCCATGGAAGTTAGGAGTTTTAATTTTCCTCTACCTCACAGGGAATGTACTTTAGAAAACGAAATCATGTCATCAAAAGATAAAGCAGTGGCAACATTCTCAGCCACTGAGCCACCTGCCCTGAGTGGGGTTTCTACCAGTCTTCAGAGGCACCCAGCACCAAAGACGGATGGTCTTCCTATGACCTGTGAAGTTTAGGAATGAGCGAGCACCCTGTTGCCATCAGAGAGTACTCGGCTGGATGCAGAAGGCTGTCGTATGTGATGGCAGCAGCCACCATTCACAGTCTTGCACCTGGTAAGACCAATGGCGCTGTTTTGTTTCCCCTGGGTAAAAAGTTGCCACTTTTATTTTTTTAAACAGATCAATGCAGTTTTTTCAGAGGATCCAAGGAAATGTTTGATTCTAATGGAAAACCGTCATCAAGACAGAAACATTAATGGTGAGAAGACTGAGCTTCCTTCCACTGAAAAAGTATAAAGACAACCAAGCATTGGCCTCCTTTCCTGTTTCCTGGAGAGAGAGGGATGGATGGATGGATGGACAGATAGATAGATGGATGGATATTTACATGCCAGAAGCTAGTACTGGCTACTGACAAAGCAAGATCAAGGGGATTTTGTGAGAGTTTCTAATTGAGACAGTAATTCATGACTACACAGCTTAATAAATCCAAAGAGAATTTAATAATTTGCTTAAGCACAGATTTTTCGGTACTCTGCCCACTTGTTGAACTTCACCTACTTATACATAGAAGAGGAACAGTGTTCTTTAGTACTAAGTTACTGAAATTATGGAATTGTTCAACTCTTAATTTTTAGTTTTTCCTGAGAAGTCACGTTACATTAAATCACTCCATTTTTGTTTCTCTGGGTCTATTGCTTCATCCCATGTAAAATTGCTAACCAAATTTTGTGGTCAGCACTAGTTTTGAAGCTGAAAAATGAGAAAAACATCATGATTCCTAAACCAGAGATCATAGGCCTCTTAAGGATAGCAACAAGGGAAAGTAAAAGTGGATGAGACAATGTTTTGCTGCCTCTATTCGTCCACCATATCAGGGGGGGGAGGAAGGCTTTGGCTTCCCTGATCTTCTGCCTCATACCTTTGCAGGATAAAGTAAGCCCAGCGTGATGGCGCTTAAGGGATTCTAGGCGCTGGTTGAGTAGTTCAGTCTTGTCCATCTTTTCTTCCAAGTCCCGAAGCAGTGATTCCTTGCCCAGAAGGCCGCACTTCTGGTTCAGCTTGATGTTGTCACCCCTCAGGCTGTCTCGGGCTTGCTTGGTCTTGGTCAGGATGTCCCTTCCTAGAGCCACCTGAGCCTCAATTTCCAAAAGCTGTGCCTTTCTGCATGCATTCTCCATATCCATGAAGTGCAGCTTTTCCTTCACATGCGTTATTATCTGCACATTGTTGGTCATCTTGTTGCGCAGTTTTAAAAGTTCCTCATTTCGTTCCTCCACTTTCTCGTTGAAGGTCTGGTTCTCAATCTTAAGCTGTTCAAAATCAATGAGGAGCAGACCTTCAGTCAAGTCCTCCTGGGCCTTCATTCTGGTTTCAAAATGAGACAGGCTTTGCTTCAGCTGCACATTCTCCAGCCGCACAGCACTCATCTCCTTCTCCTTTTTATCCTCCAAGGCCTGGATCTGCTCCACCTCCCGAAGTGCAGCCTGGCGCCCACCCCGCATGCGGCAGCTGCCCATGGCCTGCATCACCACCTGCTTCTTGAGTGCCTGGAATCGGTGCCACTCCTTCTCTACCCTGGCCACCTTCTCCTGGCACTGCTGCTTCAGCTGGGCCAGCTCCTGGTGATACCATTCCAGGTCATCGGCCTCTTGCTTCTTCATGTCCTCCAGCATGGCCAGGTAGTGCAAATATGCCTGTTCTTTCTCGGGGGCCTCGGGCTCTGGGCCCTTATCTGGCGCCTCCACTGCTTCCACGCCCTTCTTCTTGCGCAGCACCTCACAGATCTTGTGCTGAAGGTACACGTTGTAGCGCTGATAGCGGTTCCGCTCTACCACCAGGGTGTTGTACTGCTCCAAGAGCTCATTGCGAAGCTGCTGCTCCTCCAGTTTCTGCACCTCCTCCGACCACTCTTGGTCGTGGTAGTCTACTGAGCCCAGTAGGGAAGATTTCTGCCTTTCCTTGCTTTTCTCCTTTCTTTCAGCACTCTCTACCTTACTCTCCTCCTCCTCTTCTTCCTTCTCTTCCTCTTCCTCCTCTTGCTTAGGTTCCTCTCTTTCAGTCGCTGGGGCTGGAGCAGCATCCTCGCGGGTAGTGGATAACTGCACAGAGTCCCTAGACAGGGCTTTCTTCTTAGTCGTCGTCGTCTTCTTTGCCGCCGCTCTCTCCTCCTCTTTGTCCTCCTCCTCGTCCTCCTCGTCCTCCTCTTTCTCCCCCTTCTCTTTCTCCTCCGTCTCTACTTTTTCCTCCTTCTCTGTAGCCTCCTCCGGTTCTTCGGGCCTGGTTTCGGATTGCGGCTGGGCCGTCGTTTCTTCGGGCTCAGGTTCGGGTTCGGGCTCGGGCTCGGGCTCAGGTTCAGGCTCTGGCTGCTTCCCCGTCTCTCCTAGCCCGTCCTCATCCGCGGCCTCGGTGGCCGCCGGCCCTTCTGGCGCCTCGGT